CCCCAAAACCCCAAAACCCCAAAACCCCAAAACCCCAAAACCCCAAGTCAAAATTTCTGAATAGAACTGATAATTTAATTAATCACGTAATGCCATTGCGTAATTATTTGTTACTAAATTTCATAATACGGTTATTTCTTGTAGAGCCTCGCTCTGCACAATGGGCATTTGTTGCTATAGTACATGTACTCTTCAGCACAGTCAGCGTGGAATGTATGCCCACAAGCGGAGAGTTTCATTAGGATATCGCCCTTTTGGAATTGCTCAGTACAGTGGATGCATTCTCTCCCTTCAGTGTTAAAGTATGAGAAGATTCCTTTATCTGTAGAATCTGTTGGAGCTTTCTCACCTGAGATTACACTATAGCATTCGTGTTCGGGGTCATATACAAAAAGCTTTTGTAAATTAACTGTTTCGATGATTTTAAACCCTGTGTGCATGTTTCCGTCGTAATAAGAGAAAGAGTTCAAGTTTAGCTGTTTTCTCAGGTAGTCCTTCTTGTCTATGAAGTCTTTAGGGTTGACCTTTTTATCAGGAATGCGCTTGTTGAATAATATGAAGTCTCTGATCAAGATCATTTGGTCTTTGTAGTCCTGGATAAGTTCAGAGTCAGGGGTATTTTCGATGTCCAGTTTTTCCTTGAACACGAGTTCTTTCTCTTTGAGCTCTTCGAAGACCATACCTCCGTTACCGTTCCATTCAGGTCTCCTCATTTGTCTTCTGACTCGACCAATAATTCCTCTATTGCCAGTCCTTTCATCTATAAAGTAACCAACTGAACTTATACCAATATTCCTCTTGGAGTACATTTCTTTGGCTTTCTCCCTCAGCTCAAGGACTCTCTTCATTTTCTCTTTTCTGGCTTCGGCAGCTGCAGCCCTTCTGTCGGCTTCATCTGTGAAGTCTGTGTGGTCTTCATCAGGGAGTGTCTTAAGTTCTTCATCCTCACTAAAGAATTGTGAGAAAGGCCAGATTTTGTTTGGGTTTTGTAAGAATTTAATAAATTTTGCACATTTTGAGGATATGTTATGAATTGATCTGAAGAAATAGGAGATATTTATCAAACTTTGTCTCAAAAATTAGGTATGGAAGTGATTTGAGAAACTTACGGTTGGATAACCTTTTCTTCCTCGTGATTCTCCAGAGAAGATGCATTTCTATCAGGCTCCTCATTAATCTCCTTTACTTCTTCAGAATTGACAGATTGAATACCTTGATATTGAGCTCCAAGAGCATAGATTCTTTTCTTCGCATCATTAATTTTATTGCGAAACCCAAGGGTTATTCTCTCTGTAAAATTATTATTACATTTTTCTAGCAAGCGAAAAAGTGATGAGAAATCTGAACAGTTTAAAGCCTACCCCATCTGCCAGTTTTATCTCATTGTCCTTGAATAACTTTCTCCTTAAGCTCTTCTTGTTGTGGTCTTTGGGTCTTTTCTCGCTTTTCTTTCATTAATTTTCTTTGTTCTTCTTTCAGTTTCTTCATTCTTTCTCTATTCAACAATCAATAAATTGTCATCAATAGAACATAAGAAAGTCCAAGAGGAAGTATTTAAGAGAATTGAGGTCCTTCTTCCCAAACATTAAATACTGATTTACTAAGAATCATCATACCATTACTCAACTCCAAAGCTTAACACCCTAAAACCCACCAAAAAGTAACTTAACCCCTACACTACACCATTCTAGCCCCCAGATTCCCCCCAGAATTCCCCAGGCCACCCTTTACTTACCCATACTCATTAATTCTCCTCTGTTTCTCCCTCATCAGCCGCTCTGCTCTCTCTTCAGGCTCTTCCATTTGCCTCACGATCATCAAACTATCGACCAGGGACTGGACTTCAACAGGCTCACTATAACTTTCCATTGTAACTTATTATTACAACTTTTGTTGCAATCTTAAATCTCTCTGGTGGGGTTTTGGGGTTTTGGGGTTTTGGGGTTTTGGGG